TGAAAACAATGACCCACCACTAAATACCATCTGCTTGGTGCCGTATGTAATCATCAACCATCCGCCAATCCGAGTGCCAGCTCAATAGTCGTGCATCCTTGGAGGTTGCAAACAAACATTTTAGGTGAGGAATTATAGGGAAGTACCGAGCAACCTTTCTAGGAACTCTATGGTGCGTCTCCTTATCATCATCACCCTCATCAGTTCTTCACTTGTAACAAGAGGTCCCACAATTGGGGCATTCAGTGAGGGCTGCATTGTCACCATGGAACAGGATGCAGTCATTCTTGCAAACATGAATTTTCTCAAACTTCAATCCCATCGGACAAACAATCTTCTTGGCCTCATATGTAGTCCTAGGTATTTGATTCCCCTCGAGAAACATATCTCCGAGCACTTCTAGCAATTCTCTGAAGCCCTTGTTAGTCCAGTGATGTGTCGCCTTCAATTGGAGAAGCTTTAGTGAAGCAAACAACATTGTATACCTCTTATTACAACTCGGAAAGAGTGGTGTCTTCATATCTTTCAACAGCTGCTTCAGCTTCTTGAACTCTGAACTAGTGTACTCATCAAAGCCAAAGGCATCATGCACCATCTCCTCTAGATGACTTATGTCCATTCCTCATGTCCGCCTCTGCAATAGCTATGAAATATTTTAGTCCTTCCAAGTACTCATTACAAGTATGGTTCTGAATATACATCCAATGGCCTTGATCCTTTATAGTCTACAAAAGAAGATTGAAAATGGAAGAATATAAGCAAATTCATCAATGCTTTAGTAATAAAAATCACATTTTTCTAGTAAACTTAGTTCACATTGCCAGTTTCACACAAGCAAATTCAACACAGTTTCACACAAGCTCATAAAAGTTGTTTGCTAAGCTCACCACTATTCATAGAGAAGCACACGCCAGAGAATAGGAGGCCAAAGAGTAAAGAACACTAGGGACCAAGGAGGAGAGCTGAGCATGCCAGCGATCCCCTGTAGCTTAAGATGGCAAAGCACGGTCGGAGCACGCCTAATCGAGTACACTACAAAGAGGAATGAGTTAGAGTCAAACTTGAGCTCGACCACAACCATGGAAGTGTGGTGGACATAGAATGGCGCTGCGGCGGTGCTTCAGCCGATACAGCATGGTAGCGGTTAGTCAAAGTGCTCAGGCAGCATCAACAGCTCCCCGTGATGTTGATGCGTTGCTTGGTTGAACCGGGGACAAGGCGGAGCTAGATGGCTAGCGGTGATGGCGTGTGTGGCGGCACGAACTGGTGGGGAGGTTGTCGTTCCAGTGCGACCTACGTGTTAGAGGTTAAAGAATGGAGCCGATGAGCATCATGGAGTTGCAGGAGAGCTAAAACAATAAATGGGATCACCAGAGGAGCGCTGGAATGAGCTGGCCATGGCAAGCTGCCCATGGCGGCCATGGTGGCACAGCCACGGCGGCAACTGATGTCGAAGGCGATTGCAGTGGTGAGAGGTGGCTACAATGGTTCGAGGAGGACCGCAAGAACTAGGCAGAGCTAGGAGCCCAGGAAATTAGGAGAAGATGGAACAATGGCAATGAATTTCACCGTCGAGACACGCGGTGGTGCTCCGGTAGAGAAGAAGGAAAGAGAGGAGTACCGGTGGCTCGAGCTTACCTACAGTTCGAGAAGGCAGCATGGCCCTACAGCCGCCCACCACCACCACCTGCAGTAGCGGGCCCCTCGGCCTACAGCTCACCACAGTAGTGCTCCCCTTCGGCCGCTGCCCACCTGTGCGCCACACCTCTGCCTGCCGGAGCACCACACAACTCCAACCGCCGCCCGTGCACCTCAAAGCAGCAAGCCTGCGCCGTGTGCGACAACAACCACTGCTCGCTATGTTTCGTATGTACCATGTATGCAGGCCACTCCCTCTACCCATTAGCACATGCCAACGACTAAGTACACAGGCAAAGTGCTACAAACATGTGTTATTAACACGCGTCTGTAGCAAGGTTGGACCAAATTAAATATATATTCGCCTCCGTCTCCCTCTATCTCTACCTCACTCTATCTGCCTCACTTCTTCTCGTGCCTTCCTCCACCGCCGCCGCCAAGCTCTCCGTCCCTTCTCCTAGCTCAAGATGTGATGTCTCATTTTGCGGAGTCATCTAGAGGTGGACGGGCGAGGAGTAGGCTTCAAGGCACCCGTAGCACCCGCATTGGCTCCGAGCACAGTGTTGTTCTGGATCCAGTTGGTGAGATCAGTGGGTTCCTACTAATCCCTTGTCCAGATTGTGATCTTGCTCAGGTGGTGGAGGGGCAAACCAAGAAGGATGGTGATAACCATGACTGACTCTACTTCAAGTGTGCTAGGAATGGGGTGAGTTCTTTGTAGTGTTATCCCCCAATTTGCACAGTTAGAGTTCTAATCTGTGGCTATTTTTCAGTTTCCTAAGCTGTGGCTACTATCGAATCAAAAAGTAGTACTTCCAGCAGTTGAAGGATCATGGCATCATAATTGTTCACCCTTCGAATTGGGCAAAGCTGCTAGACGAAGAAGAAGGTTCAGTGGACAGTCCAAATGGTGACACCAAGAAGAAAAACTTGGAGCAGAAGCTAGAGAATTTGAAGTGGAAGATGAACATGTTTATTATGTGTGTTGTCTGTGTTGTCCTTGGATATGTTCTGATGTATGTTGTAATAAAGTAATCCCCAATGCATTGATTGAATGAATGAAACTGGATGTTCAATGCAACTGGATGAATGAATGAATGGATGGATGGAATTTGGTGTTCAAATTTGTTATGTTTAGATGTTGAATGCAACTGAAATGATGAGTGAACATAGTGACAATGCAACTGAAATTTGTCCAAATTTGTTGTCACTTGTGATTGTGAAGGCTGGAATGTTTTATTCCTTAATTAATCTAATTAAATCAGATTGCAATAGGAATTAATGAGCCAGCAGTTATGCTATAGACACGTGTTTGGAAAATGCGTCTGTAGTAAATACAAGAATGAAATAGGGGGCAGCGTAGGGAACTACAGACGCGTTTATGCGGTTTACGTGGTTCACACCGCTATGATGTTCGCCATTCCTGCGGCCATGTGGAAACTTCAAGAGACACGCTCATAAAATCCCACCTCTCCACCTTGCATTGCTGCCCACCTTCATTCAAGAAACATGGGAACTCCCCAGCGATCCACCTCTCCCTAGCGTGCTCAGCTCTCTACCTTCATGTCACCCCCCGACCACCACCACCGCCGCCGCCGCCATGGAGAAGCTTCCGCCGGAGTTGGCTGCTGAGGTTGTGATCCTCGTTGCCAAGGCCACAACGGATCCCATGGAGGACCTCACCAGCCTGCGGGCATCGTGTTCACAGATGCAAAGGGAGTGCGGCGACACCTATGTGGGACAAAGCATACCACTAGAGCCGGTGCTGCATCGTGCGGGCTAGGAGTCTTTCTACTCACGTGAGTATCGTGCGAACCTCATCACCAGGCTTGCCAGCGTCATCCACCCGGAGGCCTGCTTCAAAGCTAGGATGTCTGCTATCTTCATGGAAGACCACGACTCCATCACACCGCGGCTCAACATGCTGGAGCACGCCGCCGAGTCAAGGCATGAACTGGCTATGTATGTTCTCTCTCTTATGCTCCACAGGTCCAACAGTGATGCCACCAATGATGCCACTACCCGAAGGATGTTGTGGAAGGTCAAATGTGACAAAGCAGGCCCGACGGCGAAGAATGTGACGTGGAAGAGCAAGAACTATGCACGGCACCGTCAACAGGAATGGGTAGTGTTGCAAGATGTCTTGGTGGTGCCACGCCGTGCAGCGAGGCCTGATCTACCTCCTCTGGCCCATATGGTGCTTCGCCAAGATGGGCATCAGTGCCAAGGCAGAGGCTACGGCGACATCACCGGATGGGTAGCATGGGAGCAGTGGGCCCTATTCTATAGCGAGGAGTGTAGGATCTGCAATGTGTGTCGTAGGTTCTTCCTTGATTGCTAGTGGGCATGAGTGTTGATATGTATATATATCTGGATGACATGATCGAAACTTTTGCTTTTGGTGATGGTTGATGTTCGATACTGAGTAGCAGTGATGAAAACTGAGATGTTTTAGTTGTAATTCATGTTATATTGTTGTTTGTGATGGTGTTTGTGATGTTCCACACTACTCTATTGAGCCACCTCTACAAATAGACGACGAATTTTAAAAATTAACTACTAAAATTTGAATTTTTCAAATTACCTCGGAAGGAGAAAGAACCAAAATAAAAGTTGTAGATCTCAAAAAGCCATGAATCTTTGTAGTTAACAATTTTTTCATTTGAAATCATCTTGTCATGGAAAACTAAGTTTAAATTTCCAAAAATTTCAAATTTCAAATTTGAATTTTTAAATGACCTCGGATGGAGAAACTACCGAAACAAAAGTTGTAGATCTCAAAAAGTTATGAAACTTTGTAGTTGACAACCTTTTGATTTGAAATCATCTTGTCAACTAAACTAAGCATTCATCCACAAAAGATTTCCTATTACAGACGCGTGTTGTAAAAACGCGTCTGTAGTAGTAAAATAAAAGGCAAAAAATTTGTACCCCTGCGGGGATCGATCCCAAGACCTTCAGGCCCACAACCCCATGAGTTAACCATTGCGCTACGTTCGTAAGTTCAAACGGGGAGCGATGTTTATTTTTTAAAAGGTTTCCAATACATTAAAACAGGGTCGCGGTGGGCCCATCCTATTAGGGTCCTACTTCAGACCCATGTTATTAACAATCGTCTGTAGTAAGCAAATTGAGGAACCGGCCGCAGTCGTCCGCATCTGAAGGGTGTCATTTCACCACTCCAACAGAGAGAGGAGTGGCAGTTCAAAGCATTGGAACTGCCACTCCTTCACTCGCGTTCACTCTAGCCTCTCATCTCTCCACTCCTCTCTCGCCTTCCCCACTACACACGTAGCCGCCTCCACTCCTCTTGCCTCCCCGGCCCACCGCCGTAGCCGTACCCACAGCCGCCGCCATCGAAAATGACAAGGCCAAAGAGGCAGCACAACCTGAGGAACAAGAAGACGAGGAGGTTTGCCCATCATTCCTCATCCTCGGCAATGGTGAAGAAGGAGGTGAGCCCCTCGTCGGGGTTCGAGAAGATGCCAGCCTTCAAGAAGAAGGTTGTCCCGGCCGCCCCGTCGGGGTTGAAGAAGAAGGCCGCTATCATCACTAGGAAGGAGCAGCACCTGGCAGCATTGATGAAGGAGAAGTAGCTATCGGTGGCAAGGAGGAAGGAGAAGGCCTTGCCTACCTCATCCTCTCCTATGAAGAAGAAGGCCAGGCAAGACATGCCCTCTTCCTCGGCCATGGCGCCCTAGTCCTCGGCGGCGATGTCGACGGCAGTAGTCAAGAAGCCGATAGTGGTGCTCACGGTGGACTCGAATAGCGAGGAGGAAGGAGAACCTATGGAGGCAAGGAGGAAGGAGAGGAAGGCCATGCAAGCGGTGGTGGTGGTGGTGGTGGCGCCTTCTTCCTCGGACGCAGTGCCGAGGGCAGCGGCCACCAAGATGTGTGACCACTGCTTCGAGGGAGGAGCCAGGACGTGCTGTTTATGGCTCTGTGGCGGCATCAACTATGGTGAAGTCAATGGTTCAGGCTCCACCCATGGACAGGTAATGCACACTCTTTAGATTACAACTGCTTATATGTAGGTTTCCTTTCTGAATTTCATGATAGTTTTGTTGGTAGCCGCTAAATTGGATGAGTTTGTTGCTAAAATAATTTGGCTCATGCCATTCTCTCATCTCGGACCTAGATGGAGCAGAGAAAACAACTTAGTGTAGAATAAATGCAGATGCAACTCAAGTTTTTATACAAGCAATGTAAACTGTCATATATTGTATTTTGCAGCAACATTGTCATTTGAGTAGATTGCTTTATCTAGATGTTTATCATAGATCAATGATTTTAATCTTGTGAATAATTTTGATGGTGCCACTTCAATATTTTACCATTGTGATTTGAGTAGATTGGGTTTCATCTCTTTGCGGCAGCTCTAAGTCTTTATGTGCATTGTTAGCAGCAGGTAGATGTTTTATTTTTCTAATTTGCTATGATTCTGGTGTTCATAAGGTCATGGACTTTGTAGCCTATAATTGATTATATGAAACTTATATGATTTTGATTTGTATGCTGGATAATGAAACTTATATGAATGCAAATGAAACTTATATGTAGGTTTTTTGTCACAGTATCTAGATTTATGCTGGATTTTCATATATGTTCCTATAATTGTTTATGTGCATATATGTTCAATCTTATCTGCTCCCTCTAAGTACCATGCGCGAGGCCCTGTAGGCAGTGGTTCTAAAACCCATCATGAAGACCATAGGCGGTCTTCAGCGGAGTGTTGACGAACTCAAGAAAGAGAAGGTTGAGAACGAAGAGAAGGAGAAGCGTCTCAAGAAGAACCTGGACGACCTTGGTGACCACTTGGCGTTCATGGTTCAGAATGTGCATGACCTCCAGAGCAAGTTGTAGTGCGCCATGCCTCCATCGCTGGTGAACAACTAATGATGATGTGATGCTATGTTAACTTTTGCTGATGAAACTATGTGAATGTAAACTCTATGATGATGTACTTTTGGTGATGATGTAATTACTTTGATGAAGTAGTAAAACTCTATGATACAAACTCTCTCACATACTTTGGCTAGAAATGCATCTATCTATATATTATTACATATATATTGTTGCTGGTTTGACAATGGCTTGAGTGAAAATGGAACAATATTAGCAAATTCATCAATGCATTAGTAATAAAAATCACATTTTTCAGTATACTTAGTTCACATTGCAAGTTTCACACAAGCAACTTCATCACAGTTTCACACAAGCTCACACTGTTCATAGAGAAGCACACACCAAAGAACAGGAGGCCAAAGACAAGAGTAGGGAGGACCAGGGAGGAGAGCTGAGCACGCCAGCGATCCCCTGCAGCTCGAAATGGCGAAGCACGGTTGGAGCACACCTGATCGAGTACACTATAGAGAGGAATGAGTTAGAGTCAGACTCGAGCTTGACCATAGCCATGGCAATGCGGTGGACATAGAACGGTGGCGTGGCGGTGCTCTGGCAGATACAACACGATATAGGTTAGTCTAAGGGCTCAGACAGCATTAGCAGCTCACTGTGATGTCGATGCACTGCTTGGTTGAACCGGGGACGAGGCGGAGCTAGATGGCTAGCGGTGATAGCACATGTGGCGATGCGAACTAGTGGCGAGGTCGCCGTTCCACCATGACCTACATGGTAGAGGTAAAAGAACAGAGCCAATGAGCATCATGGAGTTGCAGGAGAGCTGAAACAATAAACAGGAACACCAAAGGAGCGCCGAAATGAGCTAGGCATAGTGAGCTGCCCATGGTGGCCATGGTGGCACGGCCACAGCGGCAACCCATGCCGAAGGTGATTGCGGCGGCGAGAGGTGGCTACAGCTATTCGAGGAGGACCACAAGAACTAGGCGGAGCTGGGAGCACGGGAAATTGGGAGAAGATGGAACAACGGCAATGAATTTTGCCATCGAGCGACGCGGTGGTGCTCCTATAGAGAAGAGGGAAAGAGAGGAGCACCGTCGGCTCAAGCTTAAGACTTGCTCACCTATGCCTGGCCACCTACGTGGCGTGGCCCTAAGGCCGCCAACCACCGCTCGCTACAGCAGCGATCCCCTCTGGCCTGCCACCCGCCACAGCAGCGCGCCCTGTCGGCTGCCACGCGCCCATCCATCCACCGCCCACCTGAGCGCACGAACGCAAGTCCACCCACCACTCGCCTACAGTCGGGCTGCTCAACTCCAGCAAACCAGATAGCCCCAGCACATCCTTGAGAGTCGAGAAGCTATTCCCACCTAGTCGGGTAAGTCTTGCGGAGTACATTGTGTACTTAGGGTTTTATTCCCCTATTGCCGATAACAGGTGGATGCTAGAGGTCACTATTGTGTGTGGATACCTCCTGGTGGGCTCAGCAAGGATCCTTTTACACTACGATCGAGGTTGTTATTTATAACCTTCACCAAATATTTTTATAAAGAACAGTCTTACAATTTTTGCTATGATATCTTGTATAGTTGTTAACCTTATTTTAATGTTTAAACATGTCTCTGAATAAATATCTATTCCACTACAACTCTGATCACATGTTTATTTATGCTACACTATAAATGTTCTTTCCACTATTGTATAAAATCTATTTTGTAATAACTTTGCTTTATGTAATCTTGTGATGTATGAAATGGTTAAGAATGTTGTAAGCTTTATGTACTTATTTATGATCCTGATGAAAACATGGTTTTTTTGAGTTCTCCTGTTGGGTGTACTCGATAGAACTATTGGGTTTAGTGTGCTCACTTGGGAACTTAGTGTCTAATGAAAGACAAGTACCCTTGGGAGTGGATTAAATCAGGTGGTTTTGCCACATTTGCCACACCAGGTACTTGGGCACGTATTCGCCAACAACTCAGACAAGTGCTTTGGATATTTATTCAGCTTTGCAATTCAATTATGATTATTATTAATCCATTGCTTTTATATTGTGCCTATCCAAGCACCACCTTCTTCTGATCAAGTATAGGTTCACCTTGCAACTATTACACTAAAGCTAGAATGGTATCACAACCAGCCACCGATTGCAATGCTTGCTGCATTGGTAAGAACACTTGTAAGACCGTGGTAAGATGCTTGAGAGTTGAGTGCCTTATTCCTTGTCCACACCTAGTAGTTGGTAGAGATAATACTTTTTATGTTGTCTTCTTTCTACTAACAATGTTAGGCAAAGGAACTAGAGATGAGGCTCCTTCCATAGATTTTACTGATTGTGTTTCCAAGAATGAGCTCCAGAAGCTTATACAAGATGAGCACACTTGAATTGATGAGAAGCTTAATCAAATCATGCAATAGCTCACCACTTTGGCCAAGTGGATTGAAGATGTTGAGCAATGACAACCGAAACCACATAGAGATGACATTGGAGATGTTGATCTAAAAGAAGATGAGGATGCTGGCAACACCAATGCGGATGCCAAAGCATGATGTGCCTGCACATGACACACGTTTGCATGAGAGAATACATCAAAACCGTCGCAGCATGGGAGGTAATAACTACCGAGGTAATAATGATCCTTTCTCTAAAACCAAGTTTAAGATTCTTCCTTTTGTTGGTTATGTTGATCCTAAGGCATATTTAGATTGGGAGCTTGTTGTAGAGCAAAAATTCAATTCTCATCTAGTACTTGAAGAACATAGAGTTAGACTTGCTACTAGTGAGTTTACTGGTTTTGCTCTTTTCTGGTGGAATAGTATTTTTTAATGATGATAATGCTAATAATATACCTCAAACTTTGCCTATGCTTAAACGTCGGATGACTTCTAGATTTGTTCCTCTATATTATCAACATTGCTTGCGGTTAAAATTGCAATGTTTAACTTAGGGTACTAAAACTACCGAGGAATATTATCATGAGCTTATTATTGGTTTAGCACATTGTAATGCACATGAAGATAATATGGATAAGTGCTCTAAATTTTCTTGGTGGTTTGCATCATGATATACAAGATATTTTTTATTATAAAGATTGGACCAGATTTTTCCAACTGTATCATCTTGCTCTTAAAGCTGAAAGGGAAGTACAAGGACGACAAAGGCCACGTGTGACAACATCGTCCACACCTTCACAACCAACTGAGGTGAGTAAATTGTGTAATGTGAAGGCACCAACACCTACGCAAAAGAACCCATCTTCGACAACATCCTCGAGTGGATCTGCCCAAATTGTTCGCCATTGCTGCAAGGGCATGGGTCACATCATGAGGGATTGCCCAAGCAAGCGTGCTTATGTTGCTACTGATGATGTTGGGTAAGTTAGTGCTAGTGACGAAGAGAACAGATCTGTGCATGCTTTTTTGTCAACTTGGTTTCACAAGTTGTATTTTGAGTAAATTCCAGTGGCTATGGTTGTAGATTTTCTATTTGGTTGTAGTGTTATGTTTACTGTAAATTTGCACTTGGAAGGAGATGCTTATTGAATCAGAAAGCCAATTTTCTTAGTGGCGGAGCTTGGGCTAAAATGGAGGAGTGAGGGGGCATGGATCAAATAACACTGGATTATAAAGAAAATTCATGATTACTCTCAAATCTAATAAACTCATGCACCCCTAGGTTTTCTATTGATTTATCCTATAGCTTGAATGTGTAGCAAATAAGGTTGCTAGCACTGAG